TTGCTGAAGTTAAACTCTGTGTCAGTGTTTGTCACTGTTATGGTTTACATCTAAAATAACCTGGAGAAGTGTTCAGAGGCATAGCATTTGTAAAGTGATCAGATCAGGGGGATGCTGTATTCATCTGGGATTTAGTCCATTGATGAGGTCTTGGCAGAAGGTGCTGTCAGGTGCTAGGGTCTGGCTGGAGGTGGATCACTGAGAATTTAACCTTGGGAAGGTGTGCACCTGTTTCCTACTCCTCCCTCCCTCTGCTTCCTGGCCATGCTGGAGTGAGCAGCTCTGCTCTATTACCACCTTCCTTCCACGATGCCATTTCTGCCCTGGAGCCGGTCAACCTTGGACTAAATCCTCTAAAACCATGAGCCAGAATAAGCCTCTCCTCCTTTAGGTTTTGGATACTGGGTATTTTATGCCAGTGATGAAAAAGTGACTAATACGGGCACTAAGTTGGGCATCAGACCCAACTGTGTACATATAAAGTTTTCAGAATGGAGCCCGGCACAGAGTGAGCATGAGGTAAATGTTGCTCTGTTTACCGAGCATCTGATATGTGCCAGGCGTTGCACTGGGCACTCGGCTATGGCAGTGAGCAGACTGATCCAGCCACTGCCAGGGTAAAGCTACCAGAGGGCATCCGGAAACTAAAGAAGCCTAAGAAATCCTGCTCCATGAGTCAGAGTCCAGGCTCAGACTCATGTCTGGCAGCTGTCCAGTACGAAGAGACCCCAGGGTAGGAGAGAACACACAGAGAAGGGCTGCAGAGCCAGTCAATCCTGGAGCACTGAGCTGCTAGCCAGGCAGGAAGTGATAAGGGCCCCTCTGCAGCAGCCATTTACTCCAGCCAGGAGTGCTCAACTCCCCCTTCAAGGCAGGAATGAGATCCCTCTTTCACATGTGCTTGTCCACGCCTCAGGGAGGGCTGCAGGGAGCCTCCCATCACCAGGCCTCAGTGCCCAGTGCTGACCAGTTCAACCAGAGGGCTTTCTTCATGGCTCCTGACTGCAGCCTGAGCTGGATAGAAAGTGGGTGTTGATCTCTGAGTCTGGAATTTCAGGGCGCTATGGGCAAGAACAGGTAAGGAGCTGTGGAAGAAAGAGAGGCAGCCATCTGTTGAGCCCCTCTGTGAGTCCGTAGATGCTTTACCTCCACAGTTTTTTATTTTATTATTCTGGTACTGAGGATTGAACCCAGGGCTTTCACACTGAGCCACGTCCCCAGCCCTTTTTTATTTTTTATTTCAAGACAGGTTGGCAAGGCTGGGCTCAAACTTGCAATCCTCTTGTCTCAGCCTCTAGAGTAGCTGGGATTATAGGGGCACCATTGCCCCTGGCATCCGTGTAAGGTACAGGTATATTACTCTGTCCCCACTTCATGTGTGATGGAACCAACATTCCTGAAGTGGTATAATACATCCAAGGTCAGAGCTGACCAGCCTCAGAGGCAAGATTTGAAACCTCGTTTTCTACCACATTCCATTGCTCCCTGAGAAGGCCCATGAGAGTAAAGATGACAGGGAGAAAGAAAGGTCAGGTGAAAAGGGTTAAGCGGAGGCTTCTGCCAGACAGAGAATGCAGCTTGGAAGGAGACAATATCCTCACCAAGGTTTTCATTCTCCTCAGGCCACACACACAAAACCAGCTAGGCTGAAGCCTCCTCCCTTGGCAGGGTATTTTTAAAACCACCCACCTCTAAAACTCTTCTGTTCCTGTGCTTTAAAGTTCCTCTGAAAAGTTGGAATAAATTTGCCTGTCTTTTCTCCCAGACAAATGCAGAGGAGGAAAACAAAAAGAACTCGTATTTTATGAGCACAAATTTGGGACAATGACACCTCCAATCATCATTTATGGCATGATGATATACAGTAATTAGGTGTCGGGAGTAATCTACGGCCGTAAGAACAGAGTCATCACTGGGAAGAAATTAAAAAAAAAAAAAAAAAAAAACACTTTTCCCCCACAAAAGAAAATCTGGGACAAGCAGG